CTGGTGCTTCTGTTACTCTTGTGCTACTCCTTCGAATGTGGCGTGGAGCTGCTCCTGCCGCTCCTGCTGCTCATTTTGTGTGTTTCTAAAACAAAGCAAAAACCCGTCGCTTGTTTTAACATTTCAACTGCTTGGAAATTTATTCATTCCCCTGCTCAAATGCTCAAAATGGGGCGGGCATCAAGCATTTCCATCTTCATTTGTCTGTCGTTTTGTATTTGAGCATTTCGGTATTTGAGTTTCCTCTCTCCCACAACACACTACAGAGACAGTGGCAGTGGCAGTGGCAAGTGCAGCACCCCAAAAACTTTCCTTCCAGTCTTTGCTCCGGCAAATACTCGTAAGTAAATTTTTAATTGAAACTCTCTCTCCGCCCTCTCCCTGTCGTATGGAGCTGCAGAAGCCACAAGACAAAATTTGATAATTCAAATGGCAGAGCGTTAAATATTTGATGTTCTCCTACACAGACCCTTACCCTTACCCCCTTTCAACTACTCCTGCACCTACCCATCGCTGAGTGTTTGTGTGTGTGTGTGTGTGGTCTGTGCCACAAATTTAATTTCATTTGTCGAAATCAATTAAAATTCCTCTCAAAATTTATCACCTGCTACAATGAACGATTTAAGGCAAATTGTAGCTGAGCTATAACAATGTTCTTCCGCTCTTCCTCCTGTCTTCGGGGCTGGGAGTTTAGCTTGGGAATGCATCAATTACTTGGCGCTCTCCCTCTCGCTGTCCCGCCTTCTCTTGGCCAAAAAACTTCGACTCTATTGTAAATGAAAAGTTTGTGTCGCCGCGCCGGCCGGCTCAAGGCTTCACACACACACACACACACACACACACACACACAGAAGCAGAAGTTGAGGTAAGTTGTGTAGTGAAGTTAAAAGTTTTGTGCCACAAAATGCAGCCCAAGACGACAGAGGCAGCGAGAGCGCTGCGTTGCAAGGCGTCTGCATGGCGTAGGACAAATATTTTTCAACAACTTTGCAATGTTTTCGGAAGGCAAGCAGCCAGGCAGTCAGGCAGTCAGGCATCGAAATCCCAACTAAATTTACGTGTGGCGTTCAAGCCGAAATCAAAGAAATTCTGTGGATGGGCCGTGGGGGGTCTGCACTGCAGTTGTGCGGATCCACTGAGCACATGGCAACCAGTGCTTGTTTTTCTGCCAGTGCATAGAGTGCAGTTTGTTTTGCAAATTTTTGGCCATGTCGTGGGTGGCAGCTCTCACTTTAAACATCAGATCAGCCAGGGCAGGGCGGCCAAAATCAGGGCTGCTGTCTGTCCCCGTGCCCGTCCCTGTGCCTGTCCGTGTCCCGAGCGGTTGCTGTGTTGTGTGTCTCACTGCTGATTTATCTGGTGAACGCGCCAAATGCGTGTAAACATGGCTCCTAGAGTCCTTGGCTGCTGCCCGTTCCCGTGCCCCAATAAGTAGGCAATGGATTTTTGCCTCGACGCCCTCGACGCGGCATTCCACTCGATTGAGAATGTTTTGTGGCTGCCGCGTGTGTGGGTGTCTATGTATCTGTCTGTGTGTGGGTGTGTGTGTGTGAACTCTCACTCTCTCTCCCACTGTAGCTGTATCTCGTCCGCTCTAATGGCCACAAATTAAAGACTTTTCTCGGACAAAAGCTGAACTTTCATTAATCGCAGCAAGTGTCAGCGCGCACAGATTTCCCGAGTAACAACATGGGGCAGCGGCGAAGCGGGGCAGTGTACTACAAACTATCAAAATAAATAACAGAACGTGACGGCCACGTAACGTGCCACATTCTCTGCCACCGGCCACTGGCCATGCCATGCCATGCCATGCCTCTGCTTGCCACACAAACGAAACTTTTCAGCCACGAAAATTGCACATAAAACTTAATTAGTTTTTTCTCTCTCTCTCTGCTTGGCACTGTTGTTTGTTGCAGGCGCCACCGCTGCTGCCCCTGCCACTGCCGTTTGTCTTTGTCGCTTCCTCTTCCTGTGTCCCTTTGTCCATGGGTGTGTGGTGTTGCGTTCGTGCCGCTTGGTCATTTTTATCATTTGCACTTAATTAATTAAGTTGTAGCATTTTTATTGCCCAACAGCAACAAGAACTACAACCATTGAGGGGCGCCTGGTGGCCAGATTACATGCACTCGTATAACACACATGTTATGGGGCAACATTCGCATGCCGTGTCCCCTGGCAGCATTTCAACGCAGTGAGAGAGAGAGAGATTGATTGGAGCTGCTTGAAGGTCTCGCCATCTCTCTCTCTCTCTCTCGCTCTTGCCACAGTTGAGTCTGTTGAATCTTTGGGCCTGCATGATGTATTTTTGTGGTACAGGTACAGCCTCCATGGCTGCAATCCAATCCATAATTGGATTTGCCGAGGGGCAAACCAAACACACACACACACACACACACACGTGTAGTCAAGGGAGTACGCTGGTATATGTGTGGCATGTAAGCAGATATAAAAAATTGATCAACTTAGGGCCGCCGCCATCGACTGTCGTTTATAAAAATTGCCGTAAGCATAAAAAATAATAGCCAGAAGACGGCAAACATCTTCCACAAAATGGAATGGGACGCATGTTTTTGCTCCATTGAAATGGGCATGGTGGGAGGTGGTGTGGGTTGGGTTGGGGATTGTGGAGCCTGTTGTCGACCTGGTCGTCTGCTTCAAGTACGTGTAATATCAATAAAATTAAGCCCAGACAAGGGGCACAGAGTGAAAGCAGCCAGAGCCAGAGCCAGAGCTCCAGCCAGAGGCTTTGCGTGCAATCATAAAAACGCGACAGTGCCAAACAATAAGCTGAAAGCCTCTTACATGTATCTTTATGTCCCGTGCCCATGCCCCATTCCCCATGTCCCACGCCCACGCTCACTCTCAGTCGCCGCCGTGTCGCTTCTAATGCGACTTGAAAAGTCAACGACATCCGGAGCCCTGGAACGGAGCTTGAGGTGGCGGCAGGAGGCATGGAGCAGCAGGCTGATGGCATAGAGAGGGAAAGGCTTCTAAATGCGGCGCTTCATTGTTTTGCCCTGAAGGAGCTTCAAGCTTCAAGCTGAAGTCCAAACCCGAACCTCGAACCCAGAGCTCGCTGCAAGTGCCAGCGTCAGTGGGTTCTCTCCGCCTCTGCTTATGTGGCATGTACAGTGGTGCAAAGTGCCAGTAAAAATGGACAACTGCCCCAAGGAGTGATGTCTCCTAGCATCTACTGGTAGCTATCCATTGTTGCCATCTTATGTTAGGATTGTTTAAGCCTGCTCTTAAAATGATTTCTAATCGATGCATGCCAGCCATGAGTGACGAGTGACGAACCACTGTAAGCCACTGGCAGCGCTGCTGCTGCTGCTGCTGCTGCTGCAGTTGCTGTTGTGGGGTGAAGTGCTGCTTAAATATGAAAAACTAACTCGCAGCTGCTTTCCACATTTTGCTGCACTTGACACTAAATTCACTTTGGCCAAGTAGGTGCTTCGTGCACTTGAGGCGCACTTTCGCTTGACAACCAGCAACCGGCGAACACATCCTGGCTGCTGGCTCCTGGCTCCTGGCTCCTGGCAACTGTTTGCCGTGTCTGTGGTGTGGTGTGGTGCGTTGTCGCTCGGAGGAGTTCTTCGGTTCGGTTGCACTGTTGCATGTGAGCATTGGGTGGTCCTCTTCAGGTCCTCTCATCCAGGCAGGTGCACAATGCTCCGGCATACGTATGCGTACGTATATTTATTTTATTACTTAAATAAATTACAAAATGGTAGTCGGTTAACCAGAGCCAAAGCCAAAGCCAAATGGCCACCCAGGGCTGTCGCACAGACCCAGAAGCCGAGCCCTCGCCCTCGCCCTCGCCCTCGCCCTCGCCTGGCGGCATAGTTGAGGAGCTTAGCGCATAATATATTGTTGCCATAGTAGCAGGCAGCAACCCACTGTTGCCCCCGAAAGCCATTACCAACCAAAAGGCAACAAAATGTTTGTGGGCCACTAACCGGCGACGATGATGGGCAAGGTAAGGTAAGGTGATGGTTGGTCGGCTCTGCCCTAGTCTGCTTTGGTTTGGTTGGGTCGGGTCTGGTCTGGTCTGGTCTGGTCTGGTTGTGGGGGGATAGGCGACTGCCAAGTGCAGAGTAGAGAGCAGACAGAGCATGTGGCCAACGAACAGTCCTCACTGGCTCACTGACGTACTAGCGTACCACGCGCATTTCAAGTGTGTGTGTGTGTGTGTGGCATGAATGAAACTTATGGTGAAACTTTTGTGTGCCAAACATCCTCCAAACATTAGCCCACAGTTATGGCGTAGCGTCTATGGGAATTTCAGAGGTATGCACAGACCACGAAACCACTTAATACCTTCTACTCAAACATAGTTTTTCGGTTGAATTTCTGATGATGTTTTTCGATTATTTTAGATCAAATTCGATGGCTTCTCTTTGAAATTCAAGAATTATGCAAATAATTTCGTTAAAGTTGTTCAATCAGGTTCAATAATGTGGTTACAATCATGATTGTTCAGTAGTTTTCAGTTTTATCTCCGATTTCAACTCATCTGCAGTTTCAATCGCATGGTAACTGAGATTTTAAATGAGTTTTCTGTAGAATGCTCATAGTTAATTGTCGTAAAAAAAAGCAATGGAATTCCACATTATGGATTCCGACATACTTACCCCTTGCACATATCCACACCCATCCTTCGCTGCATCCTGGCACAAATGACCATCAAATAAAAGACTCTCTTCGGTTTTGGCTTTCAATTCTTACGTATATGTATTATCATTCTCAATTTCAATTTCAGTTTGTCTCTAAGTATTTACAAATGAACTCCGGAGTGGGTAGATTGGGTAGATTGGGGAGATTGGGGGGGAGTTTAGGCTTTCTTTTGCGCAAAGTACGGGTGGATACGAGGGGTTGTCTACGTTGTTCGAATCGGTATTCATTCTGCTGCTGATGCTCAAGTATTGGGGGTATATTCTCGTATATATTTATGTATATGTATATGTATATGTATTTGTATAATCATCGTTACAGTTATGTACTTGTATATGTATATGTTACGCTTATGCTTGTGTATGTTTTGCAATATTGTTCAGTTAATTTCGTTGAAAAGTTCTCCGTTTGATTAGATGCCATCAAAAAAGAAACAGAAATACACGAGTGGATACACAAGAAAGGAATTTCCACGGAGCAGATGCATCCCCCGATCCTCGATCTATCCGTAGTAGTTGCCCGGGGCCTGGGTGGGATAGCTCTTGGGTCCGCCGGAGGAGGATGAGTCGCTGCCAGATCCCCCACGGGAGGAGGGATTCTCGCTGAAGAGGCCGCCAAAGTTTTTGGAGCTGAAGATGTCGCCTAGGCCACCGCCGCCGCCGCCGCCGCTGGAGCTGGCCCGGTTGGCATTGCCGCCACCATTGAGGAGGCTGCCCAGGAAGCTGCTGGCACCACCTGAAGAGCCGCCGCCTGCATTGGCACCGCCGCCAGACAACACGGAACCGAGCAGGCCGCCCAGGATGTTGCTGCCGCCGCCTCCAGAAGAGCCGCCAGAAGCGCCGCCACTGCCATAGCCACCGCTGGGCTGGTAGCCACCGTTCGAGTTGGCAGCACCGCCACCGCCAGCACCGCCACCGCCAGCGCCTCCGCCCTGCAACTGCTTGGCGATCTGGCCTGCAATGATACCGGAAACCGCTTGACTCACCGCCGGATTCGAGAAGAAGTTGGAGAAGAAGCCGCCGCCCTGCTTGTCCTTGGGCTTTTGTCCGCCATCACCATTGTTCTCGTAGCCAGGTGCCGGCGGTGTGTAGCCGGGCCTCGGCTGATAGCCGCCAGGTGCTGGCTGATATCCTCCATTGCCGCCGTTGTAGGGATTGTAGCCGCCGCCCTGGGGGGGCTGCTGTGGGTTGTAGCCGCCATATGGATTGTAGGGTGCAGCAGCACCACCACCACCACCACCATTGCCGCCAGACTGGGGGAGACTGGGATAGAGACTATGGCCGCCAGCCGAGAAGCCACCACCATATCCACCGCCACCACCGTTGCCATATCCGTTGGAGCCGCCGCCGCCGCCGCCGCCACCGTAGCCAGCGCCACCGCCCGCATCCGCATCCGGCAGCGGGGCACTTGGTGAATTCGGGGCATACGAGTTGTGGGTACTGCCGCTCACCTCTAGCAGAGGGCAGCGTGTAGCGTGTAGCGTAAGCAAGCAGTTCAAGCAGTTCAAGCAGTGTGTGTTTTTATCCAGTACGAGGGTTAGCCACAAAACAAAGCGCAAAGCGAAACGAAATTGAAAATTGAAAATAAACAAAGAAAAAAACACACAAAAGAAACGAAAAGAGAACACAAAAGTGGATTAAGAAATGATTAAGAAGGATTACGGGTTGGATTAAAGGGGGGCTGGGGCTGGGGCTGGGACTGGGACTGGGAGGACGGGGTCGGGGTTGATGGGACTTAGCTTAGCTTCGTTTTTCGTTATTGTTTTTTGTTTGTTCTTAGATATTAATGTTGCTCTTAGTCGCACATTTCCATTTTGTTTTGGATTTTGATTATAGGTATATGTTATCGATATTGCAATCGATGTGTTAATCGATTAAAATCTACACAACTTTGAGTTTGTCTGTCAACGTTATCGTTTATCGTTCACGTCGCTCACTTACACTCTAATTAAGTCTTCTGCTGCCTTGCCTTTCCTTTTAAATCATTATACATATATATTAAATATATATCTTTGACATGCTTAAAGATACTTTATGCAGAGTGGAGTATCTTTGTGTGTGTGTGTGTGTGTGTCCTGCTATATACAACCCGTCAGCTCTGTGTGTGTGTGTGTGTGTGTCTATTGTCTGTAATTTTAGTTGTAGTTTAAGTTTAAGTTCAAGTGTTAATTGTAATTTTAATTGGTATTAGTAGTAAATACTTGCGAATACTTCATGTTTGTCTCTGTCTGTTTTCCCTTTTCGGTTTGTTTTCTGTGTTCTCTGGGGGGATTAGTATCTGTATTCCATGCCTCAGGTGTACACCTCTCTCTTCCTCTTAATAAAATGCCAGCCACTGTGTTAATACTGTTCTGAATGGTTCTGTTTGGTGTGGTTTGGTTTGGGTTCTGCGGTACAGTTTCGTACTGCCTTGAATGAGAAATGAAGTATTGCGTGTATGTGTCTGTGTGTGTATGGGTGTGCACAAAACGGATAAACGGACGGAGTAAATATGCTCTTCGTTGACTCCTTTCAATACACAAAATGCAGAATTAACAGCTGCAGAAATCATTGTTATCAAAGCATCGACAAACTTTATCGATGTTCCCTAGTACTAAGCTTAGTACAAATACTAAATTTGTGTGTGTGTGTGGCGCTTTTGTATCCTTAATCCCTGCCTCAATTTGATGTATTTTTGGCTTTGTGGTGTGTGTCTGTGTGTGTGTTTTTGTATACTTTCTCTGGCAGTTGGCTAGCAAATATAAATGTAAATGCATTTTAGTGACAGTTTTTGGTTTTGATTAGAGGCTTACATTTACGTTTAAGTTTAAGTTTAAGTTAGAGAGCTAATTAGAGCTCTAATTTCTTATTAGTTTTCACTTTTAAAATGCCATTTAAACTGCCTCAGTAATAAGTTGTTGGTTTCGTATTCGATTCGATAGTTTGTATTTCGTATGACAAAAAAAAAATACCTTCTATTCGGGGGGCACTTGGTGCACCTTCCATTTCCCATTTCCCACTTCCCATTTCTCGTTCGTTCTTCATTTATTTTATTTTATTTTCTTTTCTCATGTAGCTCGTTATGCATTTTGATTGACATGCGTATGTATTTGGTATCTACAACACTAAACGTATTTGTTTTTGCGTATCTGTGCAAACCACTAAGTATCTATGTATCTATGACTGCAGCGGTGGCCCGGCTAAAAATTCAGCACACAAATTTCGAGCTCTCGCTCTCGCTCTCGCTCTCCCTATCGCTATGGCGAGTCCATAGTCTGACCACAAATTCGTAACATCAACAAAAATGAAATTAACATCAACATCAGCAGCATCAAAGTGCAGCCCTGCTGGCAACTCTTGCCTCCAGCCTGGCCTCCATGTGGCTGCCTCCTGTATGCCTCTGTGTGTCTGGGTGTGTGTGTGTTAGAGAGAGGCCAGGCGGGCGCCTCCTTTCTGTCTAAGCTCGAAATTAAATTCCAATTTAATTGAGCTGCAAAAAAGAGCAGCCAGCAGCCAGCAGCTAGCAGCCTCTCCCGGAGGAGCTGGCGGTTGACTGATGCTCGAAACACACACTGAGGAATGAACTCGTGTGTCCAGTGAACCTCCCTCTCCCACTGTTACTCCTTCTCTCTCTCTTTCTCTCTTTAGCTGACTCTTCGTTCGGTTCCGCACAATATTAAATTGAAATTACGTATACGTGGTGTGGTACACACACAAAAACAGGCACTCAACAGGAGGCTGCCTGCTGCTACGAGCACAACTGAATCGTTGTTAAGATGTTGTCTTAAATGCAACATCTCCAAGCGTTGCCACTGCCACTGCCACTCGCTGCTGTCTGCTGTCTTAAGCTTAACAAATTGAAGGAGAGAAATCTCAAAAGAAAAACCATAAATGGTGGGGCGGGGGTGGTGAGAAATACGAGAGAAACGAAAGAAGAAACAAAACGGATACTTGAACGAAAAGAAAGCATTGCAAAATGTTTGTTTATTCTTTTAAGATTTAGCATTTCGGGGATGATCGTCATCGTCATCGTCACCTTCGTGGTCGTCGTCGTCGTCACTGCTGCCACATTTTGCCGCTGCCGCTGCCGCTTCCGCTTCCGCTTCGTCTTCTTCTGCCGTTGGGATTACATATTACGTTCGTGTGACAGTGGCGAGCAGCAGTCCCACAAGCAGTGCCGCCCCGAGGGTGGCCGGAGCCAGGCCCGACTTGGAGCCCGCCGCTGCTGATGGATGCGCCTGGGTCTGGCGATTGTAGGGATTCTGCTGATTCTGATTCTGGTACTGTGGCGGCGGCTTGTTGAACATGTTCGCGTTCGAGTGCTGGCTCTGGTAGCCTTGATAGTTGCTGCCGTAGGGGGCAAGGCCGCCGCCGCCGCCGCCCAGGATGCCCAGCGTGGAGCTGGGCAGCCCGACGCCGGCGCCAATGCCGACGTTGCCACCGCCGTTGCCGCCATTGGGCGGGCCGCCCGTTCCAGAGGGACTGCCGCCATAGAACGGTATCTGGCCGAATACGAAGGGTGGATTGTACGGGTTCACAGGCTGCAGGCCGTGCATGGGATATCCGGGATTGAGGACGCTACCTGGATGATTGGGTTGGGGAAACTGTTGAAACGAGGGCGCTGACGTTGGCGAATTGTAGGGAAATATGGGCATATTGGGTATGACTGGCATGTGGTGCTGGGCCCCAAAAACATAGTGCGGATCCACAACGCCTGTGGATGAGGCGCCGGCAGCCCCCTCTGCATTCTGTCCGCCGCCATTACCGCCATTACCGCCGTTACCGCCGTGACCGCCATTGTGCTGCATTTGCATCTGCATCTGTTGCTGGTGATGCTGATGGTGATTGTTGCCACCGCCACCGCCACCGCCAGCGCCATTGCCGTTGCCATTTCCATTCCCATTCCCGTGGTGGCTCTGGCCCGTGTATGTGTTTAGCGTGGGATTCGATGAGGCGGGTGCAAAGATGTTGTTCTCGGGTCCAGTGTTCAGACTTGATCCTTTTGTGAGGCGGCATTAGTGGGCAGAAGGAGGCACATGATTGTGTTTTGTGGAGGAAGGGGGGGGGGGGGGG